CCCTCTCCTGGCTCCCCGGCGCTATTTTGACCTGGCGCGCCCAGCGCGCCGCTTCCGGCTGCGCCGCCGCCGCCCATGGCCTCCGCGGCCCTAGAGCCTGCCCTGTAGGGCACGTCCACAGCCCCGCTCCCCCGCTCGGCTGCGGGTTCGCCCTGCCCCCGGGCCGCCGTGAGGCCGGCATGCCCTGCGCTCTCCGCCCGCCTCCGACCCTGCGGGCCCTCTGCCTTGGGGCTGAGAGTGCGAGGACGGCCCTCACGCATGTTCACTTCTTCAAATCTGGCCCTCTTTGAAAAAAGTTTGGACACCCCTGCAGGAAGGAGTTGCGGACGGGGGCTGTGGCTGCGGGTTCGCCCTGCCCCCGGGCCGCCGTGAGGCCGGCATGCCCTGCGCTCTCCGCCCGCCTCCGACCCTGCGGGCCCTCTGCCTTGGGGCTGAGAGTGCGAGGACGGCCCTCACGCATGTTCACTTCTTCAAATCTGGCCCTCTTTGAAAAAAGTTTGGACACCCCTGCAGGAAGGAGTTGCGGACGGGGGCTGTTGCCACCAAGCAACCTCTGTTTGTGGCAGCCAGGGCTGGCTGCAGACAGGGACTGCTCAGGCAACAGCCTCTGTCCATGGCCAGCCCTGTCTGCCGTGAACAGGGGCTGTTGGACTCAGTGCAAGCTGGGACCAAGGGCTTGCACTGATCGCTGAACCTCTGCATTTTAAATGTAGTAAGAGCCCAGTGGCTCTTACTACTTTTAAAACGCAGAGCTGCAGCACAGTGGCTCTGGGAACCAGCATTAGCCAGGACTGCTCAGTCCCGGCTCAAGTCAGCTCCTCTGAAGCTACCCCTGCTGTGGCTCTGCAGAGGCACTTATCAACTAATCATATAGTCAATACAAATTGTATCGACTATACGATTAGCCAAATAATAACATTTTAACATCCTAAATGCTATGTTGAATATGTAAACCTGATCCTAACAATTTGTGCTTAAGTGATCCAGGCAGATGGGAAAACATGGGACCTTACCATCCTCTCAGATCCTATCACCAGGGAAAAATCCTTGTCAGAAGTGAATATAGACTCAGTATTATAAAGGCCTACTTGCACTGAGCAAGTAAATCTCAATCATATTAAGGGCAGATGAGTAGGTTTAGTGTTTTGAAAAGATCAAAGCTTTATTATTTTAAAATTTTGCAGAATTAAGTTTTCCTCTGGTGGCTCATTCTGAATAAATCCTTAGTCAAATTTGTGGGAGTGCAGTATGATGTACATGTCATAGTAATTAAATAGCTGGGAATTTCTGTAACTGATTAATTTACTATCCCTTTAGTAGACAATCTCCAAAATTTGTAAATGCTGTTTACATATACATTTCTGAACCCTTATTGTCCCATGGATTGGCCCAGATGACTTGGGTTTATTAAAGGTCTTACTTTGTAACACTAATGTACTTCCATGAACACACATAGCTTGTTTGGAAAACTACAATATTAAGGTTGCTGCTGCCACCAAGTGGTTTTTCAATCTCAAGTTCTGTAATCATTTCTCCGGTCTGGATTCAATAGTGCCTCTCTCTTTTTGGAATCCTACCTGCAAGATTACATATTCATTTCTAATAATATAAAGACTGAGGCTGTCAAGTTGTCAGTCCCTCTTTTCTGCCAGGGAATTCCTGAACTACTATATAGCAGTCATAGCTGTCCATCAGCCCATGGTTCTAATCCTGAAGTCTCACCTAGCACTTACAGCAATATTTCGATAAAAGGGGATAATTCTTACTCCAAGCAACTATCTATTTTGAAGAGTGAGTTTTTTTATTTTGCACAAAGTCATACCCTGCGATTTCCTACAGATACCAAATATTGCATAAACTATTTTGACACTTAAATTAGCTGAATGCACTACTTTTTACACTGGAATATGCTGGATAAAAAGGTGTAAATAATTTTTTGTTTTGTATCAGAAAAAATCATGACTATAGGTTGAACCTCTGTAATCCGGGATTCCCTGGTCCAGCAACATCCCTCATCCAACAGGACCATGGATATTCTGGCTCCCTGCCAGCACCAACTCCTGCTTCCCCCCTTATTGCCTCTTATAGAGGCAGCATGGGGGGGAAGCGACTAATTGGATGCCCCACCCCCAGCACCAGTTCCTGCCTTCCCCACCCCACTGCTGCGTGTATCAGCTCCCACTTGTTCCACTCACCCACCACACTTCTGCCTATTAGAGGCAGCAGCATGGAGGTAGGGACAGGTGCTCATGGGGAGCTGGCTTTTAAGCCAGGCACCAGCTTCCCCCACCTTGCTAACTGTGATACAGAGGTAGCAAGAGAGGGGAGTGCAGGTATTCAACAAGATTAACCGATAAATCCAGGCTTAATCACATAGTCTACATGTTGTCATCCCCACTATAAAAGAGCCTCTTAAGATTGGGAATACATTGCAACATTCACCCGAGACAGCAAATACACCATCTTTGATGCTTAGTCTCTACTGGCTAAGAGTAGAAATGTAGGACTGTACTGAAAAAACAGCATTAAAAAAATCATATATAAACAAGGCCTATACATTTGTTGTCTGGCACAAATGAACATACATAATATAAATTTCTCCCTGCTGAAAATGTATAATGATAAAAAGAAGAAATTTGCCACCATCATCATCATGTTCTCTCTTTAGATCTAAGGTTGCTAGAGGCAAAAAAAATTGCTTCTGAAGAACACAATTCCACTTGACATCAATTATCTTACCCATTACAAAGATAGCTTCCCCCAATTATCACCTCTAATATCATTAGCTCACAGACATTTACCTTCCCTCCTCCCATCTTCCTTCTGTTCTGAAATTTGATTTGTCCTTTTCATGTGCGTTCATTTTTTAATTGTATCCTTTGATATATATGGTTGTGACAATTTTCTTCCACTATTTGATCTGAGGAAGTGGGTCTGGCCCACGAAAGCTCATCACCTAATAAACCATCTTGTTAGTCTTTAAAGTGCTATATAGTCTGGTGTAGCTGAAACAAAAAACAGGACTAACACGGCTACATTTCTATCACTATTTAAACAGCAGGCACAGTTAAAGTTAAGTTAAACATGCTTTACTTCTAGACATCCAAACTCTGGTTATCTGAAGAAGTGGACTATTCTCACAAAAGCTCATGATACCACGTACATGTTTTGTTAGTCTTTAAAGTGCTACCAGACTATTTGTTGTTTTTTAAGTTTATCCTGTACAGACTAACTCGGCTACCCCCGATGCTTTACAGTGTCACACAATTGTTTTGTATTTTCTGCCTCTCTACAATCAAGAGGATAATGGACTCAAGGCCCTGTGTACACTAAAGCAAATGGAACTTAAAGTCTGTGATAAAGACCCTAAACTATGCAGTATTCCAATACAGCAGAAAGTCTTGACAATTTTATTTAAATTGTAAAAATTGAATGTTTTACGAAATTAAATATGAAAATCAGTAATGCATCTAAGTATCCCCTATATTTTTCCACGCAACATTTTATTTAATGCTGTGCTACATTATCAATTGTCAATATAGTGCAGTTTTGTACGGATAATACACAACACAAACATGCTGTCCGCAGAACCAGAGATTTGAGTAACATGATAAAATACAACTTTAGCTCTTGTATCTGAGGAGGCAAAGACAATTTGGGATTACATCATAAACCATTAATTGGATACTTCTCCTACAATGACTAACAGCAAAATACCTAACGGTATTAACATTTAATATTGTGGTCTTTCAATTTCAGAGTTAACACCAGTCCAGGAAACATGAAACAGTTCACATGTACTTCGAAGGTAAGGTTTCAGGATTTCTGAAGTTTCTGAAGACAAAACGTCTTCGGTTTTTATTTATTTTAAATGCTTTTTTTTAAATGCAAATATGTCCAGATTTCTAAAACATGAAAAGCTTAGATTCTGGAACACAATTCCATGATCATGGAATCACAGAAATCACAACATTAATTTGGACTCATCCACAAGTTATAGTTGGAAGACAATTTTAACAACAAAACATCAGCATCTTACAATTTTAATAATCTACAAAGGTACACTTGAAACCATGTATACATTAGTTACCTGAGGAATTGTTGAACAGCTCCTAAAACTGCTGGTGGAAGTGGCACTTAAGGTTCTCGTTCTGTGTTCATTCACGTGAATCATACTCTCTTCATCTCTATAATAGATACATTGGATTTTATTTCATTTAGCAAAAAGACAAGACTACGAATCCACCATATTCTCATAAGAAGTTTTACAGACTGAAAAGTTTTAACATTACATGGAAAATTTACATTTTGAAATATTAACTTGAACTCAACATGACAGGTATTTTAAATCCTCTAAAGTTTTTTATATCTGATTTGTATAATGATACAATGGCCAAGACTATATTAAATGACAAAATAATGTTCTAAAAAACTAAAAGTGACAGTGTTATTTTATTTTTATGCTCAATGATCTCCATTTCAATTTTTTAGTGTATGTGTAAAAAAAGTAAAAAAAAAAATCAAAATGTCTTTATCGCTGTATACCAATACACCCAACATGAGATTTGATAATTAAGCTGAGCCTAGTCCAGTATTATCCACCATTAGTAAGAGATTTGGTAATGGGAAATTAGCTGGTAGACGAGGCAAGACTGACTTCAGCAGTCTTGCTTTTTGTATCACTGTATTGTCTTTGCAACGCCAACAGTACTAAAAAAAATTGTCAGCAATTAAACCAATATGACTTGCAGCAGAATGACATTTTCACTTTTATGAGAACATCACTCTAATTCCCTACATGCCAAAGAAAAAATCCTAACAAACCATGAAGGCAACACTTCCTAGCTTAAAAAAGCGATGCACACAAGTATCTATGTTAGTAATTCCCTCGCTAGTAATGCACCTTACATGAAAAACAAGTTAAATATTAGATTTTTCCTAATGCATATGCTGTGCTGCCCAAATAAATCATTTATTTCAAAACTATCTGGGCGAGAGGGGGATGAAGATGGGAAGAGGGGCTACTGCTTGCACTATTCATTCTACGGATGTAAAATCTTGTTTAATTAGTCAACTGGTTAAATGTTAAATTTAACCAATTAACTGATTAAACAGCAGCCTTTCATGGGGCTGTTGGCTTTCAGCCTGTGTGAGCCTGTTCATATCCCTAACTCATTAAACAACACCCACACCAACCTTATTCTTTTCTTTGCTGGCACATAGCTCATGAATTAAGTTAATGATCTTTAAAAAGGATAAGCAAGGAACTGAAAGCCAGAATAACTTCAAGAAACAAAGTTTTAATTACAAACTGCACCATAAAAGTTACTGTGGAGTAGTATTTTAACTACATGAATTCCTTCTTCATTGGTATAAACAAGTTAAATATTTATGCAATAGAAAAATGCACACTAGCTACAGAAGATAAGTGGAACTAATTCAGATGTCCAAGTCTAGTTATTACATTTTGTGCTCTGGAACAAGACAACTGAATTGGTCACACTAAAAATATATGAACGTAATAATAATCACCAAGAGATAACCTAGAATTTGGTCAAAAGGAAAGCAGTACATGTTCATTCTAGGATTAGAAATATATTTTCAATTTAAGCACGGGTGGCTGCATGTTGAACTACTTGAAAGAATCTCATCTACTGTGAACAAAAAATAAATGGAAGCCGTCCAAAACTGTCAAAACGACTCTATACCTGAAAGGCATGAATTCTCTGTGCAATGATGGCAAGTCGACCAGATCAGGGCATTCATCTTCATATTCTTTGTCAGCGGGGTCTTCTCCTTGACCTACATGATCTTCAATTTTGGTTGTATTTTCAATTCTCTTTTCATCCTCAGAAAAATCAATTGCAGAACTTTCTGCATTACTATTTGCTTTCCCAGCATTCATTTGCCCTTCAGCTTCTTCTAAAACATGACTTAACTCTGTCATATCTAAACTTTGTGCTTTTTTACCACTGTCAGCTATATCAACGTCTTTGCTACTACAGACCAAAACTTTAGAAGATTTGTTTTTGGCATCGTCTTCCAATTCATCCGTGAAATTTCCTTTATTTTCTACATCTGCGGTACACAAATTTACTTTCTCATCAAGATCGTCTACAAGCACTGTTTTATAATCCTCCTCATCAGGGCCTGCTGGGTAAAGCAGTTCATCATCCTCCTGCATTTCTTTTGTGTAGCCACTGGCTGCAATCTCTATGTCAAGAGAACACTCTCTCCTGGAGAAGATAAAAAAATTGAAGCATAAATAGGTTCCCCTCAACATGTTAAATCATTTTAGTAATTTTTTAAATGATTGCTAATGTGCACTATCATTAAACTGCCACTGTTAAAGGACTAAGAAAGGTATAAGAAAGTTCTGCCACTCTTACACCTGCTGAATAGGGGAAAAAAGAGAGAGAGGTCTCCCCAATTCTCCAGCAAAACACTTCATTGAGCTCATTATTATTTAACAGCATACAACTGAAAACCAGTTGCACTGTCCCCTCTAAGATTTTCCAACCATGAGTGGAGTGAGTTGTGCCTTGTGCACCAATATTGAGATCATGTATGCTGGTTTGGATGTGTGCCACCATGGCACCCAATTTTTTAAACTTACACGTTCCTGCCCTCACCCCATTCCGCCATGCACAGGTCCCATTCCCAGCCACCGGAGCAGACCCCTCCTCCCCCAGCTATGTGGCATGTCCTGTTCCCGGCTGCTGGAGCAGACCCCGTCCCCCCAGCCATGCTGTAGGTCTGTTCCCAGCCCCAGTTGCCAGAACAGGCTCCGGTCCCCCCCTGCCACTGGAGCAGGCCTCTCCGATCCCCAGGCACTCGGTCACGGCAGATCCCAATCCCTCGACCCAGCGGCTCTCTCACCATCCCGTCTCAGCCAGCCTCGCACGCCAGAGCAGCCAGCAGCCACGTGAGTACTGCTGCACAGCTCTCCAGAGCTGTGGGCAGGGGGAAATTATTTTGTGTGCGGCCGTATAGGCGCGCACCTTAGTGGGAACTATGGTTGTGAACACGTTGGCCAATGTTCTCAGAATATAAACCTGATAAAGAAAGCACCCCATCATCCTTATTAATCAATATAAGACCCCTGAATCATGTTGTATCTCTGACCTGATATCCTGGAAGGTTGGGAAGAGTTCACTTTCATAGCCGAAGCGCTTCTTAAAAAAGTCTCTAATACATTTAACATCTCTGTCAAAATACCTGGAAAAAAAAACAGATTTTTTTTTTGCACAGAATTAAAGCTCTAGGCCTACAGGTTGGACCTCCCTAGTCCAGCACCCTTGGGACCCGAGTAGTCTAGAATGAGGGGGGGATTTGCCAGACCGGGGAGGTTCCCTGCCACTGGCCTCCCAGCCCCACCGGGGCCCAAGCTCCTCTCTGTCCCTGGGCTTTTTGGATTACTGATGTTGCTGGATCAGAGTTTGGTTTAGGGAGGTACAAACTGTACAAGTATTTTGGTATGTTTCTAACCATGTCAAGTTCTACTTCACATTAGTCACTGTCACAGCTTCAATAGCTTTTGTGCTCTAATTCTTACATGTAAGAACATCTTTACATTTAATGTGAATTTTAGAAAATGGAGTATTCTTCCAGCTTTGTCATTTCCTTTTAGTTGAGGGCCAGAGTTGTTCTGGAAAGGAAATCCCTGCAATCAGCTTTTACATTCACACTATTGTCTTCTTTCCATTTTACTAAGAAATGATTAGTTGCCACATAGCTGAAAACAGAAAATTCAAAGACACAAAAATGAACCATACAGAATCAATTCAAGTAGGACATAGCTTATGGAGAATCTCTGCAAAGCCAATCGTGTACAATCTAAATGTTGCAAGGTGTCCTGTGGCACATTATAGACTAACTGAAGTTAGTCTATAAGGTGCCACTTCAGTTAGTCTACAAGGTGCCACAGGACTCCTCGTGGCTTTTGCAGATTCAGACTAACATGGCTACCCCTCTGATACTTAATCTAAATGTTGACATTTGTCAACAGAAAAATAAAACTGAGTATATTTTTGTGAGATTGTTTGTTGTACAAGATCACATTGCAAGAAGAAAGTTAAGAATGGTACATAAAAATGAATAATCATGCTAATAAGTTACAAACTGAGTTTGAAAAATGCTGTAACACTGAATATATACCATTCAGCATTTGGATGAGATGTTGACACCATCTGTGGAAAATCAATCATGGTGACCTGATCCTCACTATCCAATAACAGATTGAATTCATTGAAATCTCCGTGAATCAAACCGTGGTTGGCTAGTTTTACAATTAGTTCCATCAACTCACTATACACAGATGCAGGATCTTCTATTTGATGCACTTGGCACCTAAAATGATTAACAAATATGTTAACAGTATCAGAAAATGAGAAGTTAAAGCAAAACCCAAGAACTCCACTGCAATATAAACTCCACTCTCTCTCCACATTTGGAACTCTTGTTTTGCTGACTTCTTATGAGATTCAAGAGTATCTAGGTATGGAAAATAAACTATTTTTTCATCCCTTGTCATACTTCCTCCAGAGCAGAATAGGAAAATAATGATGGAAAGTGTGGTGAAGCTTGTAGTGTTAATGTCCATGCACCTGTTGTAAAAATGAAATATCCATCTGCACTAAAATTCACTTCATGATTGGGGCAGGAGGACATGCTGAAAATGTGAAAGGAATTTTCTTTTCATTACTGTTCAGTTAATTTAAGCTTCGGTTTTGATTCCTTTTTGATTAGATAGCTCACTTTGGAAGCCTACACCTTTTCATGTTAGAACATATGAATAGGCAAATAGGCAAAAATATGGGCCACAGGCCGCATCCTGCCTGCCAAACCACTGGTTCAGACCCACCATCATCCTGCAGCCCAGCAGGAGCTTCAGGCAGGTTCCTTGTCTGTCGCGCTTCAGCACGCTGCTCAAAGCAGGCCAGCTACATGGGCCATATGCTCTCTGTGCACCACATGCCCTGAGGGGAGGTGCCTTTATGCATTTGCCCCCACCTCCCATCACAATATGGCAGCTCCCAGTAGCTGGAAACTGGTGAATGAGAGCTGCCAAGGTTGTGTTTGCAGAGCATGCAGTTCACGGAGGGCAAACCCCTCAAGGAGTGTGCGGTGCACAGAGACACACGTCCCCCCTTAGCTAGCCAATCTAAATGGTGTGCAAGTATGTGGCAGGTGCTTGAGGATCCCACTGGGATGTGGAATGGTGGTGGGCCAGATTTAGGGATTTGGAGAACTGATTGCTCACCTCTGTCTTAAAGTAACTGCCTCCTGGCCAAGGCCTGCACCTGATACCCCACTACTCTGCCCCAAGTCACAACCTAAACACTATGCCTCCCCTCTCAAACACAAAGCCTCTCAGACCTTGCAAGCCAATCCCCTTGCCCCAGGTCATAACCTCCTACCAGACTCTGCACCCCCTTGTACCCTAATTTCCCTGTTCCTGGTCACAACCCCCTCCTTCACTCAAACTCCCTCTCAACACCACACACCCTACTGAAGCCAAGGAAAGGCCATACAATACTATGAATGAGACTTAAGATTTTTCCCCCCCTGCAGTTTTTGATGAAGTGCATAAACAAACTGTTTGGGGCGGGGGAATATCAGATGTAATTTCTGAAACAAGATGACACGATATGTTCAGGTTTTAAAATATGTTACCAATCTGCATTATCCAGTTTTAAAAAAACCAACAGTATACTTTTTGGATAGAGAAGGAAGAAAAGACAGGAAGAAGGGGAATGTAACTGGAATTGCTCTCCCAACTAACCTAGATTCCAATACTGCTCTGCTACTATTGTCAGACTGGGCTACAGAGTACCAGCTGACTCCGTGGAGAATGGTGGGCCACTGTTAGCTCCTTTATGACTAAAAAAGGACAGCCATTGTCTCCTGCATAAACATTCAGCAATCATTTTTACCTACACTACTGAATTAAAGTGACTTTCAGCCATTCAGATTTCCAAAATCATAGTTACTGTATTCAATTTAGTCTTTCAATGGGGGTTTATGTTTCAAACATCAGTACTTACAGAGGGTAACCACTAACAAGTTCCATTACTACTGCATGTCTATTGTAGTCAAATGGTTTTGGAACAGGAAATTTTCTATCATGCAAAGCCTGGAAAGATACGAGTTAGAAAATTAGTGGTACTGGATACCAAAGCAAACATGCAAGCTCTCATATATTATTAAATACTATATATTATTACACTGTAAACTCTTAGTGGGAGAGTGTATGTACTCATATTGACGTACAGCACCCAGCAAATATTGTGCAGTAACAAAATGCAACAAAAAGAGTAATGTGTATGATATACCATGATAAATATTTTGACATATCAAACAATTGAGTAAAAAAATGTATTGCTCATAAGGCCATAAGGAACACTGTGATTACCTAGTTTGAACACCTGAATAAACACAGGCCCATAGAATTTCTCTGAATTAATTCCTGTTTGAACTACAGGTAGAGGATCTCGTTCAGAAAAAGATCCATTCTTGATTTAAAAATGTCCAGTGAGTGAGAATCTACCAAAACCTATGGTGAATGGTTACCATGGATAATTATTCTCTTTATTAAAAATTTGTGCATTATTTCCAGTCTGGATTTGTCTAGTTTCAACTTCCAGAAATTGGATAAAGTTAGTCCTTTCTCTCCTAGCCTGGGGAGCCCACAATTAAATACTTCTTTCCTGTCTAGGTACTAACAGACTGTAATCAAGTCATCCTTTAACCTTCAGTTTGTTAAGCTAAACAGATTGAGCTCTTTGAGTCTATACTTCTAGGGCACGCTTTCTATTCTTTTAATTATTCTCATCTTTCCCTGAAACCTCCTCCCATTTATCAACATTTTTCTTGAATTGTTAACAACAGAACGGGATACACTATTCCAGCAGCGATCGCACCGTTCAGAAATATAGAGGTAAGATCGTGTTCCTACTCCTACTCAATATTCCCAGGACTGTATTAGTCCTTTTGGCCATAGCACTGTATTCATGCTCATGTTCAGCTGATTATTCACTATGATCCCCAAACCCTTTTCAGATTTACTGTTTCCCAGAAGACTCCCATCCTGTAACTTCCTACATATACTAAAACATATTGCTTGCTTGGACCTTCTTTACCAAAAGATACATGATGGCAGAAGTTTCATTATAAAGATCGGAGACTGGAATACTCCTGTATGATGAATGAAATGGCAAAGTTTATACTCCAGACCTGATATTCTGGACATATATTTATTGCCACCTTGTTTACAATTTCATTGTCCTGGGGCTGGAGAAAACTGAGATGTAACAAGAGGAAAAGAATGGAATCAGACCTCGTGCGGTGGCCTGGACAATCAGCAGCAAATAATTGGAGGATGCTGTGTCAAGAACTAAACACACTCCACATTTTGAATTTTTGCCAATTCCATTCTGTCTAGCTAATCTCATTCATTCTGCATTTCCATAGACACACTAGATCACTGTCCTGAATAATGAAAGTTCATCATAACCACATTATAGTCAAATGAGAGAAGATCATAATGTCTGTGGCACCACTGTGAGCCGTTCTGGATGCCAACTCAATTGATGCACATGACCTAATCACAAGTTCATTTTCTATCCCTATATATCAGTGGTTCTCAAACTTTTTGGCCTGTGGACCATCTGGCTCAATTCAAACTTTCAATGGATCACCAGTTGCTAATGGAAACTCACCATTAATTATATAATTACACTTGAGCCATTATGCTAGTGCTGTAGCTAGGGAAAATGATTTAATTTAAATTACTGAATAGATTAAGTGTTTTAACTTTCTAATGTTAGTTTATCAAACTTCATTTTAAATAAAGTAAAATATTAATTTACGTGCAAAACAAAAGGTTTCAATGTTTTCTTTATTTATGACAAGGTGGGAAACATTTTCTGGGTCAGGGGCCACTGACCCACAGAAAAGTCATCTGGGGACCATAAGGGAGAAGTAAAAAATGCCCCAACCACCCCCCCAACACTCACTGATGTGGCCCCCAATTGAGACACCTCACTCCTCTGGTGCTCCAGCCCCACAGGGGGAGGAGAAGGGACAGGGAGGACTAAGGTTCAGGGTTTCCCATAGGCCAGATTTACTTTTTTGGGATTCCGAAGTTAGTGGATTTTGTGGACCACCTTAGGCTCTAGGGTGGGGACAAAAATGAAGTGTTCAGTGTGCGGAGCAGGGCTTCCAGTGAGTGGGATAGGGATAGGGATGTGGGATCTGGGCAGGAGGTGGGGTGCAGAAGCAGGCTGGGAGCAGGGTATCTGGCCAGAAGGGAGGGTACAGGAGCAAGCTGGAGGTGTAGTGTCTTGGAGGCTGAAGGAGGGGGAGTGAGGGGGATTGGGATACAGAGATCTGGGCATGAAGGGGAACGGTTTCCTGGCTTTGCATCTCCATTGCTCCCATTGGCTGGCCAATAGGAGTAGCGAGAAAAGCCTCTGGACAACACATCACTGTGTTGGGTGAGGAGAGGCTCATTCCCTCCTCCCCCGCCTTCCCCACACAGCGGGGGTGCCTGCACTGGTTGGAGCACTAGATCTGGCTTTCTGCTCAGAAGGCAGGGTGAAGAAATCCTCAACTTTCCCTGCCAGATCCATCTCACAGCAAGAAGCAGAGCAAGCGGTTCTGTGTGCAGTGAGCTGGGTCTGGCAAGGATGTCTTTTTTGTTTTTGATTTTTGAGAGGAGATGCCCTGGGCTTTAATAAGATGCTTGGTAAAAAAAACAACTGGGGCTGGGCAGGATAAGGAGTCGGAGGTGGGCAGCTCTACATGACTAAGTGGAAGGCTCTCTTCTCCACAAACATCAGTCGATATTTCCTCTTGAACTTGGCTCACTCCCTGGGCTCAATCAGTTCCTTTTCTGCAAGCTCTTGAACCAGTTACGCAGGATGCTGCCGTCAGGCTTCAGCATCTGGAGGGACTCGGTCTGCTCTGTGCTCAGCTGTACCTCCAGGTCAGGCTCTTCGTACCTGATCCTGCCCAGCAACCGGGGCTTGGCAGACTCGCCCCGTTTTTTTCCCTGCCACATTTGGTGCCTGCGCAGCAGCTTGGCCTTCCACAGCTTCACCTGCAGCTGGATGACGTGGAGCCGGAAGAGCTCCTGGCACCAGCACTGCACTGTCTTCTTGCCCAGCTGCTGGGCCTCCAGGGATTTGGCTTCCTTCTCCCTCCTGTGCTGCTACTCAGTTTTCTTCTCATGAAGGGGGAAGTTCGGGGCTTTCTTCACCCGTCCCTCGTGCCCTGCGAGCAGGAAGCTGGGACCTAGTGTTGCAGCCTCCCAGCTGCGTGGCAACCAAAGACTTCAGTAGCAGCACATGCTCCCTGCTGCATGGGGGAGCTGTGAGGGGAGGCTGAGGTTGAGCCACGGACCGCCTGTGGTCTGCAGACTAAGTATGTTAAGGACTAGTTGACTATCCAATAAGCAAATGCTTATCGGATAGTCCAGTCAACTAGTCGATTCTCCCCACTCTCGCTGCCTCTTTCAGATAGAGCAGTGGTCCCCAAAGTGGTGCCCGCCTAGTGACCAGGGCCGGCCCCAGCCATTCTTGCGCCCCGGGTGCCCAGGGCATGTGCAGCCCCCGCCCCCGGTTCCCCGGCAGCCCCAAAAGGTTGGGGACCACTGAGATAAGAGGCAGCAAAGGGGTGGGGAAGTAGGGGTACTTCAAAATGGCAGCACTGCGTGGAGCCTGGGGTCAGCTGGGGACTCCCTAGATGATCCTGGGCTCCGCGCACAGCATTTCAAAGTACCAGAGCCCGGGGTCAGCTGGGGACTCCCCAATCTCCTCCTAGGTTCCTTGGAAATGCCATGGGCGGAGCCTGGGATCAACTGGGGAGTCCCAAGATGACCCCCCACTCCACGTGGCATTTCAAAATGGCAGTGCCACTTGGAGCCCTGGGTCAACAGGGGACTCTGAGTCCCCCATTGTCCCCAGGCTCCATGCGGGCACTTCTACTTTGAAATGTACAAGAGCCCCCACTGGGGACTCTTGTACATTTCAAAGCTGGCACGCCCGCGTGCAGCCTGGAGTCAGCAGAACTTCCCGCTGACCCCGGGCTGCACGTGGAGTTTTACATTCCTTCTTTGAAATGTACAAAAGTCACAGTGGGGTCTCTTGTACATTTCAAAGGAGAAATGCGGAAGTGCTTATCGACTAGGAAGATCCCTTGCTGGGGCTCTTGTACATTTCAAAGTGGAAGCGTCCACATGGAGCCCAAGGTCAGTCAGCCCCAGTGGGGTCTCTTGTACATTTCAAAGTTAGGCACAGCGGCGGCGGCGTTCTGTGCCCTCTCCCATGGAGCTGGAGGGAACCAGCTTTTAAGCCGGCTCCCCCCAGTACCCACTCCTCTTTCCCCTGCTTTGCTGTCTCTTTCTGATAGGAAGGGAAGTGACTAGTTGAATAGTGTGTCGACTAAGCTTTTGCGTATCAGATACTTGATTAGTCGCTTACGTCCCTATTGGAAATATGTATGGAATTCCTCTTTATATTACAAACATGAATTACATAAGAAGAGATCTGACAAACTCCTTGCATCATCACCATTTCCACTATTATGGTAACGATTACACATTTTGAACATGAACATTTACATTTCATGATTAAAAATACCTTCATGTAGGCAAATTCTTTCATGGCAGCCAGGCGGGACAAATAAAGCCAAGACATTTTGTGTCTGTGCTTATGGTAATCACGCTTGTTTTTTAGATTACGAAAGGAGGTTCTCCCAAGCCTATGCAGTTTTAATGCAAGCTGTTGCTCCTCTTCATTTGCTACAATATAAATATCTGTAAAACATAAGAAATAACTGTATTCATCTGAGAGAGAGTGTCAAATGGACTAAACATTTGTGAAAATTGCCATGACCATTCCAGCTCCTTGCTCTTGAATTTCTGGCTTGACCTCGGGTTGATTTATGAAACATCTGCAAAAAGCAACTAACTTTCCATATCACTTTTTGTTCAATCATTACCTACACCACTGCAAAAAGCAAAACATACTACAATCTACTGATTCTTCTGCATATTAGCAATGGCAGCACCTCACCTGTAAATTTGAAAAATGAATGTCCTTTTAGTTCTAAAGTTCCTTGAAAATTATTTTTAATATTCTACTAGTTTTAATTTTGGTTTGACCTGTATCACTGTGATGAGCAGTTGACAATACCACCTGTTTCTACTGGTTACTTTCAAGGTTTGGAAACAATCCTCCTTGATATAACAAGGCACTGGTACAATTCAACAGATCCAGATGAACAGCTGGAATTACATAGGACAAGGGGCCTTCTGAGGTCTGTCTTCCACAAGGAAGTTGTGTACATGCGCAAAATGCTTCTAATGTATCACAAATGTTTCCAATATGGTTGGGAACATAACTCCTTAGAGCAAGTTTCAATAACGCTTCTAGTTGCTCGGACTGGTTTTCCTGCTGCACTGATGCATAGTCAAACACTGCATCTACAGAGATATACTTGATCTTTCCAAGTCAGTCCTGCAATGCACTTCCTCATACTTTAGTAAAGTTCTCAGCTAAGGCATCTAACATTACACTTTTTTACCTCATAACCTCACCACATACCATGCAAGGCTAAGAGCAACCAAGATAGTAGTCTGCTAATTTACTGTGCCATAGCAACCTACCTCAGCAGAGAACTACCCAAAATCAGCTGATAAGTTTGAATATAATGAATTGTTTGCATGCCTAGAATTAGTGTTTATCCTTAGTGTAAAAGGAATTCTGGAAAACAGAAATCCTAGTCATATGTAAATTTTTCTTTGTTAATACACAAGAAGATTTACCCAGCATTGCTTGAGTCCTTAACTCAAATAAGCTTTGTTTCATTTCATTTAAACTAACAGACACACATTTCTAAAATATATAGTTAAGAAGTAGACAACAAGAAGAAAAAAAAACACACCACACAATATAAAGGGGCATATTTTGTCAAAAAGAAGTGTGAAATCTTGGTCCACTAAAGTCAAAGGCAAAATACCCATTGACTTCAACATGTCCAGAATTTCACCTAAGTGTTCCTCAAAGTTCTCTACAAGATGTTTAAACAAACAATTCAAATGAATAAATAAAAAAAAATCAACAAGAATAATACAAATGCCATTTAACTACAATTCCAAAATGAAGAAAAATTCAAATTTTGCTGACATCATGGTATGGCATTTCAAACAGAGTGACAGCGTAGTTCAAATTTCTGATAAATTAGTGAACTATTTAGTGAGATGAAACTTTATTGGATTACTTGCAAACAATCCAATGTTTAATATAACAGCCACATTTGTTTTTCAAATATTTTAAAAATTACCTGATTCTTTGCCAACCCCCATCTGGTTTCCAACAGAGTTAACAACTTGTCGAGATGAGAGTGTTTTCAAGGCAAGGAAATCATACCCTCCATTAGTTAATCGGTAGCCCTGGACAGCTAAAAAATAAAAGATAGCAAATTCCATGAAATATTATGTATACACGACCATTAGAATATTTGTTTTTTTAAATGCTATCAAGGCAGTGTGAAAAAATTCTCAACTTTAATGGCTCCTTTCTAGTCAAGAAAAATTTACGAAAAGTTTGTTCTGAGATGTGAGCAACATGAAACCAGTGGTGAACAAGGTATTCACATAATGAGATTTGGTTGGCTATGGGGAAGAAAGTAAAAATCGTGAGAAAGGAAAAAACGGAATGGAGGGTGAGAACTGAAAAGTGTGCCAGTAAAGAATATAAGTTCAAGGATTCCAGAATTTATTACACAGAATGAAAATAAGTCAATTTTTATATTTTTGTAATATGGACAGGGGATGTCAAGAAACAGAAACAAATACACTGTTAATTGCTCACAGATCGGTTATTCTCCTCCTATTGCAAAGGTAAGTATGGATTTACAATATATATGAGAAACAAGATAACTGCTATAAGAAACAAGATTTCCTTTGACCCTAGATAAACATTTGCTGATAGTATTGTTAAAACATTCAACACTGAGTATTTTTACAATTGCTACTATTGCAGCAAATATTAGCCAATATAAAAATATATTATTTCCTTAACATTTGTTACAGCTTTGTACTGTAAAAACACAAATATGGAAAGTATAGCGTTAAGTTATGAACATATTATAGAAGGATTGTTATTGTCACATGAAAATCAAAGATCCATTGCTCCAGTGAAAAGAACTTATGGAAAGAGCAATCAAACTTGGTGACAAGTGTTGACAGAGCGGAATCTTGTCACGGTGATGCCATCCAATTACTTTAACAGTTCTCTGTTATGTTTCTTAAAAAGAATATGAATGCTAGTTTTTTCCAGATTCTAATATTCCAGATCTAATATTTCCCCATTCACTCTTTTTTGACAAATTATTTTAAAATTTCTTTCAAAAAAATCTAAACAATAAGAATTCTATTTATCAAAATCAAACGCTGATTCAGTACATGAAGCATCCCAAATGCCAGTACAATTCATCCTTATTAGGGTTGGTGCTAATCCTGCATAAATTTTTGTTTAAATTTAAATGTATGCATTGGGAGTTAATCTACTTGAATTGAGTCGACTGGTAGCGTGTAAAGATAAGTATGGGTATGTCTATACTTGCACCCTAGTTCAAACAAGGAATACAAATGCAGGCATTCGAAATAGTCAATGAAGCGGGGATTTAAATATCCCGCGCTTCATTAGCATGATCAGAACTAACGTTTGGCGTGTTTCTCCAAATGCCAGCTGTTTCGAAAGCGAAAGTGCGTGCTGGGACACGTTAGTTCGAACCAAACCCCTTGGTTCAAACTAACGTTACTCCTCATTTTTTGATCATGCTAATGAAGCGCGGGATATTTAAATCCCCGCTTCATTGACTATTTCGAATGCCTGCATTTGCATCCCTCGTTCAAAGTAGGGTGCAAGTGTAGACATACCCTATATGAATAAGTTTTATGCAGGATTGGAAATTTACTGTTCTGTATATGTTTACTGCTCTGAATTCTCTAAATATTAGTATTATGCAGACATTTTAACAGCACCATATCGTAAAGTTCTGCCAAGATTTACACTTAAACAAGACTGAAACTGAACATTATACATCCTGTGGACTGACTTAACACCTGGTCTACATCTAAAAGTTTGATCTGTGTAACAATTTCTGTTAGGGATTTGATTTTTTTTTAAATCAGAATAGTTATACTGGTAAAAGCCCTACAATTAATTAATTTATACCAGTACAAAGAAGACATACCAGTATAGTCATTCTCTTTCCAGAAGGGAAAAGCTTTACCAATATAAAGCACCTTTACTTTAAAACAGAATAATCCTTTTTGTGCGGATACGCTTCTATCAGTATCGTTAAAGTGGTACAACTTTCAGTGTAGACAAGACTTCACTCTCCTTGCAAAACACTCTTATCCATGACTGGCTGTGCATAGACAGTCCTGCTCCTCCTATGGTAACTTTTCCTCCACTGACTTGAAGAGAGTTGCCAAAAAGAGAGTAAGACTTATCTTCATGATTCTTACAAGGGCAACTTGTATCTTGGTAAACTACACACAGTTCATCTTTGTACAGCCCCTTGTTTCCAAGGCGTCAAAAAGAGATCACATGGAGAAACAGGACTGTGCAGTAGGGACGTTAATCCATACACGTGTATATCGTTAACTGATAAGCCCTAGCTCATCAGGTTATTCACATGGTTACATGTTCCCCCTCCCCCGCTGACTCCACCAGAGGTAGTAGCAGCAGCAGCAGCAGCAGCATGGGAGGCAGGCAGGAACCAGTATTCTTGGGGAGCGAACGTAAAAGCTGGCTCCCTACAAACACAGGCTTCCACACAGACCATCAGAGGCAGCAACATGGGGCGGGGACAGGCAGGAGTTGGTGCATGCAGGAAGCCAGCTTAATAGCTGGCTCCCCACAAGCACTGGTTCCTATGTGACCCTTGATGTAAATGTGAAACTGCTAAAATTTTCAATGGTTACATTTTTACACAAATACATATATTTTAACATCCATATTGTGGAGGTCAAGGTTTAGCATTTCAGTGTAACTGTGAAGAATTAGATGTGTTCAGGGACACAAAGGTTAAATGGTTAACTCGTAAGCATCCCCTTGATGGGTGATGCTTACTGGCTGGTTAACCAGTGAGTGCTGGAGCAGCTACCCATCCACCGTGAGCAGGGGTTGCTCCAGCACCGTGGGACCCAACACTGACAAGGGCTCTCCACAACCCCGCCCAAATCCCTTTTACTTAGTTAACTGATTAAACATCACACTTAACTGGTTAATCAATTAAATAAGATTTTACAGTGCTAGTGCACACAGGATGACTATTCTAGAATGAACATGGAGTTTATTGTACAGTTGCACAGTCTAAGGATGTTTTGGTATTATATTCAGATGGTAAGGCATTTACACAGATGCAAATGTTGTTTTAACTGGTAATTTCTCTATTTTTTAGTGACTGCATTTACAGGAAATCCACTTGAGGAACATTAACTGAAAAATAACTCTGATTTCCATAGGGGATTCAAACTCACTTTTAGTTCGTTCATAAGCTAGGAGTTTGTGTTTCACCAACTCTTTTAGAATTTTGTTACATCCACCATGTTTCAGGCTGGCTATGGAGGCAATCAAGCTAGCAGGGACTATTTCATGATTCTTCATCCCCATCTCTACCTGAAATAATAAATGAAAGACATATATGAACCTTACAACTACATAATGAAATAACAGTTTTGTACATCAAGCCTAAACTTACTTTTCACATATACACTGAAAACAAAACTAAATATATTGTGTTGCATAAAGTTCTTTTAATTTAACGCAAGTTTTCAATTTGCTTGACTAGCAGTAGTGACAGAGTTGTTTGAAAAGAAAATCTATACTGCAAATGGAGAATCTCTTGTTTAGGGAACGTCACATAGACCTTTAATATATGTCAAGCTTGAGAAATGCAATAGAAACATACCTAGCATGAAAACAAACCATGACCTATAAGCCAATATGAGGGATGTAGAGATATATGGCAGGCCAGAAAAATGTGCTAAATTTCCCAGTAGGATAATCCCCTGGGATCATGATAAAAAAGTGCAAAAACCTTTCTGTTGCTTATTCGGGACAGCAGCCTCAACTTCCTGAAAGGAGGCTCCAAAGAGGATGGAGAAAGGCTGCTCATAGTAATGACGGATAGCAGAACAAGGAGCAATGGTCTCATGCTACAGTGGGAAAGGTCTAGGTTGGATATTAGGAAAAACTACTTCACTAGGAAGGTGGTGAAGCACTGGAATGGGTTACCTAGAGATGTAGTGGAATCTCCACCCCTAAAGGTTTTTAAGTCTTAGCTTGACAGAACCCTGGCTGGGTTGATTTAGTTGGGATTGGGCAGGGGGCTGGATTTGATGACCTCCTGAGGTCTCTTTCAGCTCTACGATTCTATTTTTACAATGCTTCTTGTAAGTTTCACTTTCCTCCTACTAGTGGAAAATCAGAGCGGTAGTTAAGAGTCAGCCTGAAGCTGAAGACCCTGCAGGTCAGAAAAATTATTTTATTTCTCACACCCTGCAAGGGTGCAACACAATAATTCAGATAGATAGATCCATGTTACATTATTTGGAAATTTTCCCACAGTTCTACTGCCATTTCAACTGTACAGATGGTACAAGGTGCATGCCACAGGACATCAGACATAGCTGGCTACTGGCATTTTAATCACACAGGTAGTCCTGCCCTAAGAAAGATGTGATGATACAATAGTCAGAGAATCAATGGCCACCAGAAGCCAGTCCACCTATTACTATCAGAGGTAGAACTGAAATTATAAGAAGATTTTTGAAGAAAAAGATTAATGTTGACTAAGAGAGAGACTAGCTACAGCACAACGCGCATCAGAATATTAACAGTGTAGTCGGTCCCGTCCCAAGCCCGGCTGACTCAGCCGGGAGAACCCAGCTAGCAGCAGGGAGTTACACGAGCTCCCTCCCCCGGGCGCCCGGACAGGAGCTGGTTACAGGGCACCTCTCGCGCCGCTGTCACCCGAGCCCGGCAGGGACTAGCCCCACGCTCAGTACGTCCCTTGTCACCGATCGAACCGAGTCCCGGCTCTTTCCTGCCGCGCTCCCCGGCCCCAGACCTACCCCTCGCCCGCCCGCCCGCGTGGCCCCTTACCGCCGTCAGCACCCTGAAGTGGTCGCGGGAGAGGTAGCGGAGCATCACCACGTTCAGCCGCCCCATGGTCTCGCCCTGCTCCTCCCGGGCCGCCTCGACAGATGGTTCTTGTCAGGACCAAAGAGCCGAGCCTCGGAACACCGTGTCCCGGGCCCGTCACTCTGCGCATGCGCACTCGTGGGCAGTGGAAAAAAACCGACGTTACTTCCGCCAAGCTGTGCAAGCGATTGCTCAGGTCCTAGCAGCTGCATAAAGACTTATATGCCCGATCGGCTAAATGTCCGCGTAACCTCGCGACAGACGCATAGTATAATTTCCGCTTTCTCATGTTATTGTCTTGGGCCAGGCCGAATTCACTGACTACTCTTTCAGATCTGGGTTATTTCACCATGAGGAGTTTATGTCTCTGTCAGGACCGGCTGCTTAGGAGAAGCGTCCTTCTGCGAGACAGAAGTAGCTCGTTCCTCAAATCAAAGGCTCAGTTCCAGTGACTGACCAATGCACGGGCTATGAGCTCCAAAGACCGCCGCCCCGGACACCTGTCGCTGCCCTCAACTAAGATAACATACAAAATCGCACTCGCAACTGAAGACCGGTGGTATTGCCGGCTGCAAGTGCGCATGCGCAATTACGGTGGCGCGCGCGCCGCCTGCGCAGGTAGCGAAGTTACATTTCTAAGTGCGCTTGCGCGAAGGAGGGGACGACTCCGTGCGAGCCGGCAGCTGCTACTAGGCGCATGCGCGCGTCTGCACCGCACCTGGCCCGGGCTGGGGTTGCCGGTGGGAGGACCCTGCTTGGAGCTTCTTTCCCCGCGTGATACGCATCCCTCAAACCTGCAACCCAAACGTGCTTTGAACTTAAACTTTATAAACGTTACTAAGACTCGGGGGTAGCCGTGATGGACTGTGACTTTAAAAACAGCGAGTGGACCCGTGCCACCTTCTTCGGCTCCTGGTTTTTAAAGCGATTAGTTTGTCTCGGGCGATATACAATTTGTATTGACTAAATGAGCTTTTTTTTCTCATCTAGTCAACTAGCAGGAGCATCCAGGTAGCCCGGTTCCATAGCGCTGTTACATATCTTGCAGGAGAAAGTCTACGCAGCATTTGCTGTTTTAGCTGACAGTGACTATTGTCCTGCGTCCTCCACTGCAAACCATATTTCATCCTCAGAGGCTTTCTGATGTCCTTCATGCAGTTCATTTGTTTTCATTTTAGTTAGGGCTGAAAGTTCTTTCTGCCTTCCACCAAAACAAAGAGTCCAGTGACATCTTAAAGACTCACAATTTTATTAAGGAATAAGCTTTTGTGAGTACAGTAACAACCCCTTCATCAGCTGCATGAAGTGAAAGATCTGATGGGATTCAGGGATGGTCTTATCTTTCACTTCATGCATCTGTTGTTTGTGCTGAAACAGACTAACAACTATTTTCTCTAAAAATAATCAAAGCATATATTTCCTGCATTGTCCATACAGTCAAAACACTTCAATCAAGAATGATGATTTGTCACTTTTGTTATTCCACCTTTGAGGTACTGAGTTGCACCATTCCTTCACAATCTGCTGTATTTCTTAATGTGATGTGACATTGTTCTGCAAGGCTGGTGATTGGGCTTTTTAACTTTTGTAGACCATGCTTCTTTTAGGTGCAGTGTATCCATTTTTCCCCCTGTACAGTAGAAACTCAGAGTGGGAATGGAGTTTGTTCATAACTTTGAAATGTTCATAATTCTGACCAGAATGTTATATTTCTTTCAAAGAATTACAGCTGAACTTTGAATTTTTTAAACTTTGAACTTCTTTTTAAACTTTCTCTTTTTTTTAGTGGTTTATTTTAAACACAGTACTGTACTATGTTTGCTTTTTCTGTGTTGTCTTGTTTTTTCTTGTTTCTACTACTACCTGATTGCATAATTCAGGGTCTAAATGAGTAGTGTGTTGGTAAGGTAGGAACTGTTGTAAATGAATATTTCTTGGTAATTGACTCAGTTTTGAACCATTTACACTAACAGCAATTGAAATCATAAGTTGATTTTATCATGTCACAAAGGGTTGATTTGTGTCAGCCAACATGTTACTAAGGAAACTTGCGCTGTGTAACAAAGTTCTCAGTCTTTTTGTAATTGAAAATATAAGTTAAGAGCATCTCACTTCTTCAAAATAGTGGAAATGCATTTTCCTTGACGGAGACATGCAAGTTGCTGCTGGTTGACATCATTCTTAATTCTGAAACTTCTGTAGTCTTGTACAATTCCCTATGCAAAAATTATCTCCTTGAGCCATGGGAGAACCAGATAAAGATTTTATGCACATGGAAATCCAGATGTGTTAGTAATGCTTCAGTTGATTTGCTTCCAGCTAGGTTTAGAAAATGATAAACTGTTACCGTGATGGGTTTTTTTCTGTGGCAAAAGTGTGGGGGGAGATATAGGAAGCAGTGTGCCTGCTGAAAATGTCTTTCCTTTTCCTTCTTAGTCCATAAGGCTGTGTCCAGACTCAGGGTTTTTTTTGAAAAAACTTCACCTGCATCTAGACTACAGCCGCGTTCTTTCGAAATTAAATCGAAAGAATGCGGCTTTTCTTTCGACGGCGGTAAACCTCATTTCACGAGGAAGAACGCCTTTTTTCGAAAGTGCTCTTTTGAAAAAAGGCGTTCTTGAATGCCAACAGGGCTTTTTAGAAAGAGAGCATCCAGACTCACTCGCTGCTTTCTTTCGAAAAAGCGGCTTGCTTTTTCGAAATTTCCGCTTGCAGTCTAGACGCTCTTTTTCGAAAGAGGCTTGCAGTCTAGACATAGCCTAAGAGTCACTGAATGAATCTGTGGTCTTCAGGAAATCAGATTGCATGTAATTATAATGATCCTACGAACTTAAAATTTCTGAATCTAAGGACACATTTACACAGCAGGGCAAAAGTTGAATTACGTTAATTGTGTAACTGAAGTAGAAATAGCTTAATTCAGCTTTTGGCACTGTATACACAGCCGGAAGCTGAAGGAAGAACACTCTTCCTTTGACTTCCCTTACCCCTTGTGAAATGAGGGTTATGGGAGTTGGAGTAAGCAGTCCTCCAGCTCGCCATTATTTTGAAATAATGGCTTCTTTGTAGATGTGCTCTTAGTTATTTCTGAATAACGTCAGTTATTCTGAAATAATGCTGCTGTGTAGACATGCCCTAAGAGTGCCCCTTTTCAAGCCCTGTGTATTGCTGATCATTTAAACTGGGTGTTTATGAACTGAGGCAATAATGTTTTTCCCCTCTTTTGTTTATAACTGCTTTGTATTGTAAATTATCTTATTTGGAGAAGTGAAAGTTTAACATATACTTTTGTTTTGCTTTTTAGTTATAACTTGTCATTTAAGAATAATGGGAAAGCATTGGCATCTCAAGTACTTTCTAAAATGCCAGAAAAAGTAGATGTAGGTGTGTGTCTTGTCTGTATCTTTCTATGATGAAGTCTTCACTTTCTGCTTCTGAATTTGTGTGATACTTCCTTTTTCATCCCAGTTTCCTTGTAGAGTTATTTAGATGACATAAGAGTATTTGTCCATTAGCTTAAACATTGGCCTCATAAAAATATATATTATCTATATGAAGATTATTTGTTGGACCAGAAACTTGGATGATCTACATTTTATTGTCATCTTTTTCTTTTAGCTGGATTATTTTTATTGGAATGGCAAATTATGAAATAATTCATGTAATTGAATACAGTACATCAAGTTTCCTTATCGAAAAACAGGACTCACATTTGTGAAGAAGTTAATGTACTTTGTGTGCCCTCCAAGTTGTCTAATTTGTTTCAATAGTTGGCTATTAACTTGGATCTTCATTCTGAATGTGATTTATCTATAGTAATAATCTATGATGCTCTTGTTCTCACAAATTCTTTTCCAAGAAATGATATATACTGTGTTTAACCTGCATAAATAAAAATAATTGAATAATAACATATTCTGTGGTTTACATTGTTTTTTCTAATGAGCTTTATAAACCATGCTTAATATTAATCACAATATTAAGCATGGAATTCATTAGCTATATTTGGTTCTGGTATATTAACATGTTTATGCAGTGCTATATATGTTGAAATGGAAGAAAGGTGGGATTAATCTATTAATGGATTGGTGAATTCATGTACTAAAACCCACATCAAATTGTGAATTTGCTAATTCACATCCAGTGCAGCGTGTATTTTAAAGCTAAATTGTTATTTTTCTTTCACTGGTGTTTTGTTCATCTATGGACATTTTTATGATATAATGAGTTACTGCACCTCTTCCTGATTCATTTCTTGGCCTCTCTTGAGCAGATTGTCAACTGTCTCAAACAATGTGCCTTTAGAACACTGAGCATACCTGAACCGTGAGCTAGTTTCCAGGTAAAAAATGAGACTATTTACCTACTTGACCTTGCTAGATTATTAAATACTGACATTCTGAATGTTTCCATATAAAGACTCTACTAAGCTTCATGTTTTTAGCTTTGGACATGGAATGTTAGCTTTTAAATTGTCTACAGTCTGGAGAAAAAAATAAGTCTGTTTAAAAGACTTCTGGTGTAAGCTATTGCTGCAGTATTTTGGGTTCCAAATGAATCGAGCCTTGCTAAGAACTTTAAATATAACACCACTTCTTTACAACATGAAAGCATTTGTTGCTTACAAGAAGTCAATTTGACAGTTAATTCAAATAAAATGAAATGTTAAACTTCCAGCAGGAACAGCCAATAAGGAGTCTTTCTTAAAAGTTCATTATGAGCTCAACAGTCACAAGTCTGTTAGCTGGTGTAAAAATGCTTTAAGAGTCTGCATTGATACAACAAAAATACTGAAAACTATGGAAAAATTAAACTTGCATGTAGAATTTAACTTCAAGTAAAAGAAGAATGTGCATTCTGATATTCCTAAATATTGTAGCTTTGATCCATATGTTAAGATTAGCACAGAAAAAACTGATGTTAGTAAATCTTTCTAATGAATGGTAGTATCCCTGCCAGATTTACAAATGCAGCACATTCCTTTCTGAATGTAGATATATAAACACCCAAAAGCTCTCGTTGAAAGTAAGACTTGAATAGTGTGATTCATATACTAGGCTCTTTCATAGTAGTTTTAGAAAGCCACTGTTCTCAGGATACATATGAATGGTCACAATTTTATTACTGCAGGTGTCCCTTTTCAAATGAAAACCAGTAACAGGTCTCCTGGGATTACATCTGGTACTGTTACAATTCTCAAGTTAGTTACATTGACATCTGTATTCAACTAATAGTGGAAAAATGTCTGAACTGAAAATTGGTTTAATGAGCCTGCAGTGATCCTCAAATTTCATTTGCATATTCCTCCTTAGATCCGCAAGTCAGTAGTTGGTATTGGTCATGATGGTGTTGGGTCACCTCATGAATCTTTGTTGGTGGTAAACCAGTTCTCTTTGCAACACAGTAGTGGTTCATCCAGTATGTGTGAGGTCTATCTGGGATTAATTCCCTTGATATTATGGCTGAAAATACCCTCTTGAAAATGTTTTAAAGGGGTATTCTGTATGTTCTCAGGGTAACTAATACTATAACTTTTCAGTTCCAATTAGGTGAGGAAAAAGTTTATCATAGTTTAATCCTTCCCCTAGTATCAGCTTAGGCTACTAATCTTCATAATTTGTGCTGTTATAAACTTTACTGCTCACAAAGTACATTATTAGTCCTCATGGGGTATGAAGTTTAGTGCACATGAGGTGTTTTAGTAGTGCTTTTGTTAGTTGGGGGACTTGGAGAATGAAGTGCTACCTTTATTCATAGAACAGGCCCAGGAAGGGTACAAAGTTTCACTACTCTTCCTCATCAATATG